GCGTCCAGATGCGTCACCAAGCTGCGTCCAGATGCGTCACCAGGCGGAGTCCAGATGTGTCACCGGGCTGCGTCCAGGCGTCACCAGGCTGCGTCCAGATGTCACCAGACTGTGTCCAGATGTCACCAGGCTGCGTCCACATTCGTCACTAGGAGATCTCACCAGGCTGCATCCAGATCCCACCAGGCTGCGTCCAGATCCTACCTGGCTGCATCCAGATCCTACCTGGCTGCATCCAGATCCCACCTGGCTGCATCCAGATCCCACCAGGCTGCGTCCAAATCTCAGCAGGCTGCGTCCAAATCTCAGCAGGCTGCGTCCAGATCTCACCAGGCTGCGTCTAGATCTCACCAGGCTGCGTCCAGATGCGTCACCAAGCTGCGTCCAGATGCGTCACCAAGCTGCGTCCAGATGCGTCACCAAGCTGCGTCCAGATGCGTCACCAAGCTGCGTCCAGATGCGTCACCAGGCGGAGTGGCGGAGTCCAGATGTGTCACCGGGCTGCGTCCAGGCGTCACCAGGCTGCGTCCAGATGTCACCAGACTGTGTCCAGATGTCACCAGGCTGCGTCCACATTCGTCACTAGGCTGCGTCCAGATGTCACCAGGGCTGCCAATGAGTCTCTCCAGTGCTGCATACAGATGTCACTAGGGCTGCCTATTGGATCTCTCCAGCGCTGCATACATGTCAGCAGGGCTGCCGATGGGTCTCTTCAGCGCCGAATACATGTCAGCAGGGCTGCCGATGGGTCTCTCCACGACTCTGTGAACAGGTGCTGGGCTGGAGAGTAGCGAGCCATACGGAGCGGGTGTCGGTCACGTGCCCACTCCGAGGCTGTATTTGCAGTGTGGGGCTTCTTCAACCTCTGCCTGAGCCGGGAAGGCGGAGGTGGAGACGTGGGACCTGGCAGGCACTGTCAAAGACAGCTACTGCCAGGTCCCCGGAAGGCTGCCTCAGGCCCCCGCAAGCACGGGACCTCGGCAGCCGACCTGGTTCAAAAATTTAAAGGGCCGGTATCGGCATTTAGTATTGGGGCATTTTCAGGAGTACAAGTCCCCCTGAAAATACCCTGTATCGGTCCTGATACCGATACTAGTATCGGTATTGGGACATCCCTAGTTATAACCTTTTTATACTTTATCTAAAACTAAATAAAACATTTAATGCACTTTAAACACATTCCTTCTATTTCTCTAAATTTTTTGCATATTCATTCAGGATATACCACAGGTTTGATTTCATGGTTGCAAAAAGTGGCTTCTGCTACCAGAGAAGGGGAACGTAGGTTTAACCCCTTAACTGCCAAAGATGTACGCTGTAAGCAATGGCAAGCAAGGGGTAAAAGCAAGCTCACAGCTGCTATTATGTAGAAGTGATCTGGGCGGCTGGTAAACAGTCTGATCACTTCTATGCCCAGCAGAGTGGCTGCCCCATTCAAGGGGGGCACATAAAGTTAAGGCTTGAGATATTTATTTTTTAATGACGTAACGCAATCTCATCTTTTATGTTTTCTTGAAATTCTGGAGCTTATACTGTGGTTGAATGCACTAAAATTGCTTCAGATAATTCATATATTTACATATTATTAATCAACATAAATAGACTTTAAAACAATCCCTGTCTGTCCTCTGTAGCTATAGGCACTGTGAAGCAATTCATTCTCAATTTTCTAGCTGAAGCACTGATGTTATTTAAGTCATTCTCTTATCAGCTCAGCACAGCCTGACACTGACATGGTTGCATAAAACGGCATAGAATTAAAACTCTATACAATTGTGAGGTTTAAGAGACAGTTGGAGATGTACGTAAACTAGGTTGAACAGGGGGGTGTAAAAGTTAGAAAATATTAGGGCAATTACAGTAGGTCAGACAGGATTCCATATCTACTGAAGCATACAATGTGGTAGGGTTATGGCAAGTTTTTAGGGGACTCCTAGGTTAGGAATATAAAAACAAAGATGGGAGCTCAAATTGTACAACAAAGATTTCACAATTAATCTAAGTGCAAAATGTAATGGCTGTTTGAAGTGTAGTGTGTTGTAATATTACAATATGGCCACTAGATGGAGCTAAGAAGCATAGGGAGTAATAGTTAATTCTAGGGATGTCCCGATGCCACTTTTGCAGGCCCAAGTACAAGTACATCCCCTCATGTACTTGCCGATACCAATTACCGATACTTTTTCTTAAAGGGACAGGTGACTTTAAATGATCCATAGTACAACTACATGTTATGTACTATGGATCATGGTTTAACCTATTCATGTTAGCAGTGGAGAATTGTAACTCTATTGCTGGAGTGTAGTGGAGGTGTGTGCTGTATATATGCACTACATATACATTACACATGTCCAGTACACTATAGCAATAGATTTACAGCCAGCCCCATCTCAGCTTCCCTTACTCACAGTTTCACCCCGATCCCCATAGCCTCACGCGATGCCTCTTGTAGTCGGCGCTGGGCAGGATCGCTGCATCACATCTCGGTGCTCAGCTTGTGGGAGGCGCTCACAATTCTGCCCTGCTAACATGAATAGGTTAAATCATGA